GGGGAAAAGGAACAATAAGCGCGCGCGCCCTGGCAGAGAGGCGGGGCGGCGGAAGGAGTGGAACGGTCCAGTCAACGGGCACCGGAGGGGAGGAGCCGCTCGTTCTAGAGCAGTTTCTCAACCGTGGCAAGCTTTAAGATGGCTTCAACTCCCAGAATTCCCTAGCCAGCTATCCCGCTGGAGAATTCTGGGAGTTGAAGTCCACACATCTTAAAGTTGCTACGATTGAGAAACAGTGTTCTAGAGGCTGCTGTCATTGTAGACCAGTCCTGCCCTCCAGCCCCAGCAACAGAATAGGGCAAGCAGCTCAAAAAAAAAAATAGATACCTCTTCCAAAACGCATATACAACATATGATATATTCCTGAAAACGATCTGAATGAATGGTGCAACCTGAATCTAGCAAAGAGGTAGCAGTAAAGACAAGAGTGCCTCTGAGCATAAGCAAATTACAAAAAACTTTTGGAATGTTTTTGGTTTGTCCTAAATGTAAGTGAACTTGTAACTGGAAAAGAGAGAGAGACTCAAATGAACAACAATAATGAGAGGGAGGTATATGAGTCCCCATTTATACTTGGCAAATCTTGTTTGAAACAATGGCAACCAGAAGACCAAGCGGGGAATAGAATTTGGGAGATATGAGTACACAGAGGAATCACTTTATAGCACTTTTTAAATTTGTCAGTAGCTGTTTACTTTGGCTTTTTGCATAGTGTTATTTATTTCATTCGTTTTAATGAGTTGCTAGGAGTCTGTCAGTATATACATTTAATAAATCATTGTTGTTATTATTATTAACCTAGGCGATAGCAAGCATTTTCTTTCAATTAAGAATCTAATAGAATCCAGCTATAACAATAATTGCTTATAATTGTTATCCCACAAAAATGGATATCCAACAATAACAAAGGAAAAATATACAATGTATAAAAATAACCATTCCAACACCAGTGATTCAAAAGTATCCATAACATTTACAAGCTGAAGCTAACTGAGCCTGAAGAGAAATGTCTTTGGTCCTAAAATGCTGCCATGGAGGCACTAGGGCCAAACTCCATTTTCTAAATAAGGCTGCCATCTGAGTAGGACCTCCCTCTTTTAACCTTCCACCCAACAGCATCTGCCAGGAGAAGGCCTTCCAGAGGTATATCTGGGAGAGATATTATTTTAGATATTCTGACCCTAGACAGTCTTAAAGTTGCTGAGGTTGAAAAACACTTCTCTAAGTAATGAGATGTGGGTTTTGCTTTGTGCAATATGAATATCCTAGTTGGGTAGAACTCAAGAAAAAGCTGAGTAGGTACTGAATACTTGGGGTACAACCACAGAACTGATAGAACAGTTTATCTTTAAATCCCCTTTTAAAAATTAACCGCTCCAGTTTAAAATTAGTTGCTAGAAGAAAGCAACGATAAACTTCTAAAAAAAATTGATGCTTTCACCAGGAGTTGATCTTGACTTGAGGACATTTTTACCTATTTCTTTTTTTACAGGTGAATCATTGCCTTGAACATGCTCATTCCCTCACAGTAAACAATAAAGTTTTGAGGAGTTAATGAGTAATAAGCCCCTGTAATATTTTGTTGGAAGCAAGTTGTACGTTAATGCTATTAGGCTTAAAGTGTATAAATAATCCAGTTCCACAGTGTGCAATCAAGATACGGCCCTTCCTGGGGATACATGATGAGTTCTCTACAGCAGTGTTTCTCAGCGTTGGCAACTTTAAGATATGTGGACCAACTCCCAGAATTCTCTAGCCATCCTGGCTGGGGAATTCTGGGAGTTGAAGTCCACATATCTTAAAGTTGCCAAGGTTGAGAAACACTGCTCTACAGCTGTGTGAAATAATCATCTTTCCCAAATCTACATAGTTATAATTAAAGCCTCAAGGAACAGAAGGGGAATCAGACTTTTTCTCATGCTTCCAGGATGCATGTTGCAGAAAAACCTGCCCTGAGCCTTTTCTCTCTCTCAGCCTATCTGTCAGCTCCATGTGAGTTTCAGCTCTTCCAGAAGCAACAACCAACCAAGCTGAGTTAGAGCTTTTCAGTCTGATCTTGATGTGTCCCAGACAACATCAGGAGAAAATTACATTGGATTTAATTGACAATTAAATGTAGACGTAGTGAATTTATTTGAATAAATTATCTATGGATTATTATCTACCAATGAGTAGTAAGTGGTTAGTATGTGGTACACTTGCTCACTGCTAGCCTGATTTTCAGCAAGTAAAGCAAGACACTCCAAATTCCCAACTTTAGTTGCCATATGAATTGGAGCTTCTGTAAGCCAAATCTAAACAAGATCTGGAGCCTCTTCTTTTCTTCTTTCCTAGAGCCTTGGTGGAAGCAGTCGGAACACCTCAGTTGAACAAACTGAGATGTGTCAGGAGGGTCAGCCTGACCGGGGGGTGGGCGGGTGTCAGCCTATCATATGCATATTTTAATAGTGGGAACCCATGGAAAAAGTAAGTGAAGTTTTAAATGATCCCCCCCCCCACCAGTGTGTAGCACTAGACAATATCTAAATAAGCATTACTATGTTGTTATACGTGCTTGTCACAGAGTAGGCAATCTCAAACCAATCAAGCATGGCTTAACAACCGCTTTTTCATAGTACTCACAAAAGAAGAGCAATGATGTGAATTATGTTTCTCTTCTGTTTTTCTGTGTCTCATATAAAGGGGGGCACGCATCCATTCTCCCATTTTCAAAAGGCTAAGAAGACAACTGACAAGTTAGGTTTCCTCTCTTGTTCTCATACTCTGGAATATGAAAAGAAAAAGTATCTTGTAATCCAACCAATGTACTGCGGTGCAAATACTTGTGGACTAATAGCCATATCACCAGATGCTAGGTTAGTCTCTAACTACATATCATGGATAACCAACCTGGGACTTTGCAGATTTTGGTACTGCAATTTCAATAAACCGTTACAGTTGTCAGGGAAGACTGCTACTTTAGAATTTGTGGTCTAACATACCTGTGAATGTGCTGCTGGTTATATGATCATCTTTAAGATATTCCAGGAATGTCCAGATATAGTTCTGGAAATCTGTGGGTTGTTTAAGTAGTTACTCTATGGAACAACCTCCCTTTGAAAACCAAACTAGCTCCAGGATTAGTTTAATTTTAGTGCAAAATGTTAGAAGTCAATTTGATGCTGAAATGGCATTACTACCTTTAGTCACTTTCTGTTCATATTGGGTGGTGAGGTTTTTATATTGTGTGTTTTTACTGTATAATTGCTGTTTCATTAATTTGGTTTTATAGACATGTATGCCACCCAGAGTCACTTTGTGTGAGATGGGCAGCTATATAAGTGTGATATATAAGTAAAATAAAATAAATTATCACTTTATACTCTACACTGAGATCTACTGAGGTTGGGCAGAGACTTGTGTTTAATTAATAAATGTTTTGCTGCAAATATATATATATATATATATAGAGAGAGAGAGAGAGAGACAGAGACAGACAGACAGAGACAGAGAGAGAGTCAGCAACTGACTATGCAATGATAGTTTCTCTTTAATAAGAATTTTTAACAATAATCAAAAATAAGTACAGGATAGCATCGAAACATATTGATCTGGCAAAGCGGAACTTTCATAAAGTTTATGGCTGTGGTCTATATAGTAATGCTCAGACTAAGAGCAAATATGATTTAATAGAGATAACAGACTTGGTGGAGTAACACCCATGATTTGAATAGGTTCAGTTTGAAAGAGATGAGTTGCACTGGTTCACCTGATGAGAAATCCAAGTGAACGAACTTGGTGTTGTCATAGAGACCACATGAGTTAAAATAAGTGGAGGAATTAATAAAATAATGTTATTGATCTCTATGTCCAATCATGGAGATGTGGATGTGGAAGCAAACTGCATACATTTCAAAGAAGAAAGAAGCAGTAGGGACAGGAGATTTAAGTACTCTGACATCTATTGAGAAATAAACTTTGTTACGTATCTAGATCAGTGTTTCTCAACCTTGACAACTTTAAAATGGGTGGACTTCAACTCCCAGAATTCCCCAGCCAGCAATCTAGATGCCTATGTGATTGATCTAGATGCATATGTGATTGAACCCATAAATTCCTAAATAAATAAAACAAAGAACACAGTCCTTCCATGAAAAAACTGACTTGTTTGGTTGACAACTTTTTCCTTCAAAGAGTGGAGGAAGGCACAAGAGGAGCTATCTTTTACTTGATACTAACCAATAGGAAGATTTAGTTGGGGAAGTGACAATAGCAGGAACATTAATGGGAAATGATCACATAATGCTGGTCTTCTTGATTTTAAGGGTCACTAAACTAAGTGTAGTCAAACACATCTTGGACTTCAGAAAAGCAGATTTTGATAAACTTAGAATAAGGATTAATACAATACCACATTAGGAAAACCTAATGGACAAGATGGATGGGAGTTTCTAAAAAGGAAGTTTGCAAACACTTCCAATGAGTGTGTATGTGTAAAGGGGAAAGAAGATAGCAGAAGAAATGCAGCTATACAATACGCTTAGTGAAAATCAAAACCACAATGAACATATATAGGAAACTAGAAAGAGGAACGCAGCATGAAGAAAGAGGAACAGCATGAAGAAAGAGTGCATATTTATAGCCTAGAGTTGTAAAATTTACATCAGAAAAGTTAAAGCTCAAAATGAGCTAAGGTTAGTGAAGAATGCTAAGAACAACAAAGTTTTTTTCAGATAAGTTCAAAATAAAAACAATAGAAAAGAAATTATATTCTAGCTCCTCAGTGAAGATGGCAGTGGAATAATCAATAACAAAATTACTCAAATCCTTCTTTGGCTAAGTCTGTTTTGAGAAAAGAATATGCTTTCCACTGGGCAACTGGGAAGAGCTGGTTGAAAGTTTCCACCTTGAGCTTGTTAGAAATAAAGGGAATAATTATTGACCTTGAATGAGTTCACTTCTTCTGGCTAGATGATGTGCATGAATCTGGAGAACAGTATAGTGGTCATTAAAAATCAGCATGGATTTATTAAGAACAAATCACATTTCACTTTGATTGGGTAACTTCCTTAACAGATTGTGGGAGTACATCTAGATTTCAGCAAAGCGTTTGACAAGATACTCTATATTAGCAAGCTAGATGACATGTCTGGATGACATGTCTATTAGACAGACACACTGCTGGCTTGAAAAAGAGTGCTTATCAATGGTGCATCATCTAGAATGATGAGAGATGCCATGGGGTTCAGTCCTAGGGGCAAGTACTCACACATTTTAATTACTAGCTTGTGGAAAGAGGTGGAAGACACTGAACAAGCGATACTTTATCAAATGTGTAGATGACACAAAATAGGGTGTGATAGCTGGTAGAGTAGAAGGCAATAAAAATTCAACATGATTTTGATATGACAAAGAAATGGGTTGAAATAACAGACTGAAATTTAATACAGACAAATGAGAAATTCCTCACTTAGGAAAATCAAATGCATATACAGCATATGGGATAGTGGATCCCTGACTTTGTAATAATATATGTGAAAACAATCTTGGAGGAATTATAAACACAAGCTGTTCAGGTATCATTCCAAGATTCTTGTCATCTCTTTGTGAAAGACAATTGGGATAGGTACACATCTATTAGACGTCCAAGGCCAGCGCTGGATTGGAAGCTGTCTTATGAGAAGAGAGTAAGAGAGAAGGGTATGTTAACCTTGAGAAAAGGTGATTGAGGGGAGATAGAATAGCCCTTTTCAAGTATCCGAACAGGCAGCACACAGAAGATTAACATCTGTACTCCATCATTCCAGAGTGCCAGACACAGAATGATGTTATGAGGATTTTGGCAGATTGCTAGAAAAACTTCCAAACAAAGTAGTTCAATAGAGAAACAAATTGCTGAGGAAGGGGTAAGTATCTTGAGCTGTCTGAAAAATAAGTCAGCTTTTTGTTTCTATTTATCATTAAAACTGCTGTTTGCAGATGCTTTTTAATAAATTCAGTACATATTGATCACAGTCAGTTTGTAACAGCTTTTAACTCTCCAGTTTAAAAAAAATAAATTTGGACAGACCATATTAAAAATTAAAATTTTAATTTCTCATAGTTTTATTCTTTGTTGACTGGTTTCAGTTTATCCAACTCAAGTTCCCGAACGATTCATCTAAGCTTCTTAGACATCAGATCTGGGCTGTAAAACTCCAGATGACCACGAGATGGCAGTAAAGAATCACTGTTTTCGATATTTCTGTCATCGAAGCTGGAGTCCTACACCCTAGATAGCGTAGTTTAATTTAAAAGATTAGCTTTAATCTTTAAAGCTGCAAGCTCATAGAAGCCGAAGCAGAGGCTTAGCGGTAAGCAGTACTGAAGTTTAGCTAAGCACACATAAGACACACTATAAAACTTAACATGATTTGCATCTCCAATATCTGAAGGGTGTTGTACTCTTTTGAAACATCTTGCCAAGATAGACTGAATGAACTCCATCAGTCCGCTCAGGAGTCTTCTGGTGTGTAGATGTAGGAATGCATTCCAAAACAATTTAGAAGTAAACATGTACTTATTTTAGAAGAATTGTTTTCCTTCCTTCCTTCCTTCCTTCCTCCGTTGCAAAGGGAGGAGTTGGCATGCAGACCCACCAAGTGTGGTTGATCTGTGTGTGTGTGTGTGAGAGAGAGAGGGGGGGAGGGAGAGAGAGAGAGAGAGAGAGAGAGAGAGAGAGAGACGTGCCTAGTTGCACAGCGCCGCATGGCTGCCGCACCTGTCCTCAGTCTTTCCGGCTTCCTCCTATCTCATAAGCATAACAAGCACCGGATGCTTGAGCAAAGCCAGTCCGCTCCCGCGCCAAACCGCGCTCTGCTTTGCGTACGTGCAGAAGCCGGTGCGCGGCAGAGGGGCGGGGCTGCAACCCGAGCGTGCGTTCCTGGGCTGAGGCTGCCCGTCCTGGCATCAGCTACGCCAGCATGCCCGAGGAAGCAGCGCTCCAGAAGCCCTGCCGCAACTTCTCGCGACAAGTGTACTGAAGAAGAGCAACAATGCTGCTGTGGGACAGCAACCCCGAGGTAAGGAGCGTACTAGGGTTAATGCCCTAGTATATTTTTCAACAGCTTTCCGACGGTACTGGTTGTAACCCATCCTCCTAGGAATGTTAAGCTCAGAAGACCACTACAAACAATTCTGGAAGGGTCACTCTCTTGGAAATTGCTCGTCTTTTGTAAGGCTTCCCATTCTTATTCCTTTGCTAAAGAAAGCATGGTGGATCCACACAAGGACTGTGCCTCAAATGCTCCTCTCTTTTGTAGCCTCGCGGCCCGAGCCCTCTCTTGAAAGCAGGGACCGAAGTGAACCTGGCGGCCGCCGCCTTTGTCCAGTCTCCAGCTCATCTCGCAGCCGGTGGAGGCCATGCCTTCTTCCTGCTTTGGCAGTTCCAGACAGGAGCCAATCTGGACCAACAGGTACATTTTTAACTTTTCAGACCTCCTGACTTTTCCATTTTACGTTGGAAGGAACAGTTGCCGCCTGAGAGGATGAACAAGGCGCGGATAAGGTGAAGGCACGGCTGGGTAGTTTCAGAATATTCTGCTTTACTTTGGTTAGGGTTACTACTGAGTATGCAGTAGTACTAATATTAGTAAACACTAGGAATTCTGGTCCTGGGAATTGAAAAACGTTTTGTTAAGAGAATAGGTGTATGTCCTAAGTCAGTCACTTCTTTCCAGGACTACTTTTCAAAGGACAAAAGTAAAACCTATTATTTTCAAACTAAGGAGGTTTGGTCCTAAGTTTCAGTGGGCCCAACCCAAGGACTGCATGCTTTTTAGCTCATCCGGATGCAAAACTCTGTTTCAACTTGTAAATAGTACGTACTGGGACAGGATTCTGGGGTTGACAATCATATTACACTTGAAATCAAGCTGTTTTAACCCCCCCCCTTTTTTTAAAATATTGACACTGCACAATGATGAAGGGATTGGATTTACAAATAAGGTATTTCTTTTTATTTAGGATTGGCTTGGAGAAACTCCAATCCATAAGGCAGCGAAAGTTGGGAGTTTGGAATGTCTGACTTTACTAGTGGCCAGTCAGGCGAGCATTGAGTAAGTGCATCCCGTACTAATTTCATCAAATAATTTCATTGTTTTTGCATTTAATTGTAAGTTAAATCAAAAGTAATTTTTTGGCCTAGTCCTCCCCTTTTGAAAGGCTGTCCCTGGCAGGCTACTCAGAGTGTGAAAAAGCTTGCCTACCTTTGTCCAACTTTGAATTTTAGTTTAACTTACAAAAATACCACTTTTGCACATTGGGTGCAAGAGGCTTTCAAATAGGTTCTTTTCGGTAGAGAATAGATGTTTAGGCTCTAGTTCAGCACAAGTAAATTTATACTTCAATCCCACAGAAATCAGGAGAGCTTAACATTATATTTAACTTGCGGTATTGATTTCAACAGAACAAGCACGATCATCAGTTGGATCAGACTCACGTAGTCTAATTCTACTTATGTGCAACCAGAAACAAGCCTTCTTAGAATTGGTTTCACATGGAATTTATTTCCAGTGTAACACATGATTATTTCAAAAAAATAAGCTCCATGGATTACAAAGAGGCTTACTTGTCAGTAGATACACATACATTTGGGCTGTAGTGTTTCAACTCAACACTTTATCCAATATTTAAAAAAAAATTTTTTTATGATGGTTTAGATGTATGAGAAATACAAGATTGCCAGACAAATGAATTGATTTTCTTTTAAATGTGTGCTTCAGCTTGCGCAATAATAATGGTCAAACAGCAGAAGACCTTGCACTGGCTTTTGGATTTTTGGAGTGCGCCCAGTTCCTCATGAGAGTGAAGCAGATTCAGAGCAAGAAAGCAGAAGCACAGTGTGACTCTTCCTTGCATGACAGCGATGAATCCATCCATACAGATGCCACCACAAGACAGAAACGAGCATGTGAAATGAATAGACCCATCGGCAAAAAGAGAAGGAAATCAAATGGTAAGGGGGTTTCTTCAAAGCACAACATTAAAGTCTAGTGCAATTAAATTGCACTAGTGAAATTTCAGCCTGATTGAACATCTGTCAAATTGATTATTTACTATCTTGTACATTGTCAGAACTAGTTTGGGGGGACCTCTTATTTAAGGAAACATGGTACAGTAATATACAAAGTGCTTTACCCACATCCAAAAACAGCTATAATTATATTTTGATCCAGGGATATATAACTTGATGAAATAAGTAATGTGGTTGTGTAGCGGCCTTAGGGCTGAGCATACCACCTTTTCAAGG